GCCACAGGTGATTAGGAACGACACTTGATGGCATCATACTGACTCTGCAGCCCGAGGGCAACCACTGTAAAAGACAAAGCAAGATGCGGCTATAATAAAAAAGATGTGCTGACAGTGAGGCAAAAATAATAATTACGATGACAATAAAAAATAACACTACTGTGCACGAATACATGCCAGGTACTGTTTCAATTGCTTTCTGTGTAATAATTCACTGAATTAGTATATACAATACAACCTTAAGAGGTAGATATTATCTACATCTTCATAGGTTATATAATTACCCTGGCAGAGCCAGAATTCTAGTCCAAACAGTGTAGCTCCGGAGTCTGTGGTCTTAACTATTATGCTATACTACCTTCCAGTAGTAGATGGTAGTAGTTTTTTGTTGTTTGTTGTATTACTTCTAAATATCTTTTCTTGACAACATAAAAAGTTGGCAAATCTATGTTGATTTTCTCAATTAAAAAATGTATTGGTTGGTGAAATCTAAAAGCCTGGAAATCACCAGTTGCCAGGGCCAGTAGAGAGCAAGAAAATGAAAACTTGTGAGAAGGCAAGTGCGGGAGCAAGGTCTTGGAGGATGAGCTCTAGAACACGGAGGGCAGTGAGGTGCGAGCAGACACTATGTGTAGGAGGAATTACAGGCCCGGTTAGAGCTGACGGTGAGGAAAGCTTCTCTGGTAACTAAAAATCAAGGTCATCTGAGCTCAGAATAAGCCTGGTAGTAACAATTGGAATGTTTAATAAGCAAATAAGGTAGAACAGTGAAGATGTGGAGCAAGTTTTGTGAGGATTGGGGAAAACAAGTCAATCCAGGAATGGATGGACAGACTAGAAAAACAGAGATGGTTTTGACACTAATTATCTTGATGAAGTCAAAGACTAAGTTTAGTGGGAGTAAGGGAGTAGAAGATGGATAAACTAATGCATCAAGTTGTGGTCAGAAGGGAGTATTTCTGAATTTCAGATCTCAAAGCAAGAGTAAAGGCTCATTCATTGATGATGATGATGAAGATAACAGCCATTCATTAAGCACACTAAACAAATTAATTATATCTAGTCATAACAACCATTAATATCAGTATATTACAGAGGAGAAACTGAGGTCTTAATGAATTTTCAATAAAATTCAAGTTTTTTTCATAGATCTTTTTTTTTCTTTAGGAAGACTGGCCCTGAGCTAACTGCTGCCAATCCTCCTCTTTTGGCTGAGGAAGACTGGCCCTGAGCTAACATCCATGCCCATCTTCCTCTACTTTCTATGTAGGACACCTAGCACAGTATGGCTTGCCAAGCGGTGCCATGTCTGTACCCGGGAAGTGAACTGGCGAACCCCGGGCGACCGAGAAGCAGAATGTGCAAACTTAACCACTGTGCCACCGGGCCTGCCCTTTTCACAGATCTTCAACAAGATGACTCTGAAATTCATACAGAGTAGAAAAAGACTTGGCATTTCCAAGACAATTTTAAAGAAAATAGGTGGACGTTAACTGTTCTCAATGTCCTGCTGGGTATTAACACATTATAAAAACTTATGAACTTATTATAAACATTTACTATAGAAGCTGTAGCAATTATGATAGTATGGTAATGTCATAGAGGTCATACAAATTGATCAATGGAAAAGAATGAACAATCCATATCCATGTGGAAACTCTGTGTGGAAAACTGATTTGAGATCAGTGACATTACAAACCATGAAAGAAAAGTTAAACTATTCAAGAAATGCTGCTAGAACAATTAATTGCTCATACATAAAATAAATAAAATTAGATCTCTACCTCACGCACAAAAAAATAGGTTGATTAAAAACCTAAATATGAAGAATAAAAGTTTAAAACTTTTAGCAAAAAAATAGAAGAGTATCTTTGTGATTTTGAAGTAGTAAAGGCTTTCATAAACAAGACTTTCAAAGCACAAAATAGAAAGGAAAAGATGAATAAATCTGACTACATTCAAACTAAATTTCAGTATAAGACACCACAAACAAACGTCAAAGACAAGGTACAGACTGGAAAATAGGCAACCAATATAACCAACAAGGTATTATTATCCAGAAAACATAAATCAGTGAAAAACATGAGCAAAGTGCTAGCAAAATAGGCAGAGATGTCCAGGAGGCATTTGGAAGTAGTACAGAGAAATCCAGGCTGGAATAGAGACTTGGGCTACCCTAGCTTTTGATCACATTTGAATTAATGGGACTAGACGAGCTCACAGAAGGACAGCATGTGAGGCAATCTGAGACCTGCACTAACCAGGACACAGAGGAGGCCGAGGATCACTGATCCTCACTCAACTTCTTAACACTAAATAATAACTCCCTTAACTTTATTCACATATTGATCATTTTGTCTGGCCTTTTCTGACCATAAAGTATCTTTATGTCTTTTAAAAACGGACTCTAAATATAAGCAATAAACGCTAATAAAAGCAGATTTTGTTGGACACTCTCAGAAGGTGGTCGGATAAACCTGTCACTTCTATTTAGAACAATATTATCTTCAGCCCTCTGTTTTGTGTACTGCCAAGAAGGCAGGCCTGTGGAAAAGAAATGCAAATTTAAAAATATGAATGAAACAGGACTAAAAAAATTTTTTTTAAAGATTGGCACCTGAGCTAACATCTATTGCCAATCTTTTTTCCCCTTCTTCTTCTCCCCAAATCCCCCGGTACATAGTTGTATGTTCTAGCTGTGGGTCCTTCCACTTGTGGCATGTGGGACGCCGCCTCAGCGTGGCCTGACGAGCGGTGCCGTGTCCCCGCCCAGGATTTGAACCCGCAAAACCCTGGGCCGCCCACCCGGAGCGCCAGAACTTAACCACTCGGCCACTCTCTAGATATACTTTCTAGATATTGATCTGGGTGGTGGTCACATCAAATCATACATTTGGCACTTGAGCATTTTACTTTATCTCTTGAGGTATATATTTTTTAATTCCTTTAAAGGAAACTTCCTAGAGGCCTTAAAAATCTCACTCAACACAGCTAGTCTTGCCCTTGTCAAGATGACAAAGCCTCTAAAGAACAAACACTCAGTGGCCTTCTCCAAGCTTTTCTTCCCCTACCGTGCCCCACTCCCAGCCCCGGCCTGCCTGAGCCGTCTCCTGAGGACGCCTCTACACCCGATCCGCGCTTGACGGAGCCGCCGCGGGCCGTCCCAGGGCCACCACCTTCGGGACGAATAAGCTACGGGGTCCTCGTTTAACCAAACGAAAAGCTCGCTCCGAAAAGGAAATTGAGAGGCGAGTGCAGCGTAGACGCCGACCTTTCCAGCATCTCTTCCACACTGCCCTAGCTCAGGAACACGACCTGTATCTAAACATCTTCAGAGACGTCTCATTTTAACTGTACGTTAACAATTTTCAACAGGGCAAGACGAGAGAAGAATCGGTTTATCTAGATTTCAAGGCACTCTTACTGACCTTAATTTTTTAATCAAGGACAAACACAAATACTAAATGTACACAGTCCAGAGAACGAAATGTTGCTTAAAAAAATTCCTTCTCTTTCTCACTTTAAAATGAAAATACGAACGCAAAAATAAAACATGAAACGTATTTATGCCACTGGCTGCCACAGTACGTGCCACAGCAGGAAAGGGGCCCCGCGCAGCCGGCCGCCTCGGCCCGCGCGCTCCGGGGCTCGGCCACCCGGACTCCGGGGCTCGGCCGGCGGGACTCCGGGGCTCGGTCGGCGGGGCTCCGGGGCTCGGCCACCCGGACTCCGGGGCTCGGCCGGCGGGGCTCCGGGGCTCGGCCACCCGGACTCCGGGGCTCGGCCCGCGCGCTCCGAGGCTCGGCCACCTGGACTCCGGGGCTCGGCCGGCGGGGCTCCGGGGCTGTCCTTCCGATACCCCCTTCAGCAAAAATATGACACAAAGTGACGTCAAGGAGGGTGTGCCAAGGGAGTGAAGCTGTCTCCTCTCACCTTTCAATTGTTTAAAAGAAGTTAATAAAAATTAGTAAAACGTCAAGATCTGCACGGAGACTTGAGTTTGAGCAGAAGCCGGGAACATAAACTAAAGGAAACCCTGAGGTTCACACTCTTCAGCACTTTCCCGGGGTCAGTCAGCCGAAGAAAGCGCTGTCTGCGGAGGCAACGGCAGCGCTGCGGCCGCCCGGGCCGGGCGGAGGGCGGGGCGCAGGCCGAGGGCCCCGCGCCGCCGGAGCGCGCACGGCAGAGACAGGCGCCAGGAGACGCTCGCGCGCCCGCCGTCCAGCCCGCAGCGCCCCGCCGCCGGCCGCGCTCGGACCAGGCCCCGGCGCAGGCCGCTCCGAAGCCCGCCGCTCCGGCCCGCAGCCCGCGGCCGCGCGCCCCTCGGCGTCCGCGCACGTCACTAGCCCGCAGCCAATCGGCGCCCGGCAGGTCGCCTCTCTTCCCGGGCCCCGACCCCGGCCCCGCCCGCGCCCGCGCCCAGGCCCGGAGCCGGCCGGCAGCTTCCACGCTCGGCGCAGGCGCGGGAGCGGCGGGGCTCGGAGAGCAGCGGCCGCCGCGCGAGGATGGTGCTGGAGAGCGTGGCCCGCATCGTCAAGGTGCAGCTCCCCGCGTACCTTAAGCGGCTCCCGGTCCCCGAGAGCATTTCCGGGTTCGCCCGGCTCACAGGTAACCCCGCCGTCAACGGCTCCCCATCCTTCCCAATGCGGGGGTGGGGGCGTCTGGAAGTCCCGGGCCGAGGGGCAGGGCGGAGCTCGGCGGGGCACGTGGCCCGTGAGCCCGCGCGGCGGGGGCGCGGCCGGCCGGGGCGCGTGACGCCTCGCCGCCCGCTGGTGGCGCTTGTCGCCGGGGCGGGCTGCGCCGGCCCCTCTCCTCCTTCCCGCCGCCCTCGGCAGGCTGCTCGCTCGTCGTGGAGCGGGAGGAGTCGTCGTCATCTCGGGCGCCGGGGTCAGGGAGGCCCGGCTCCTGGCGGGGCGGCGCTCGCGGCGCGTGGGCGAGAACGGACGGACGCGGCTTACGTACGTGGCAGTTTGGTTTAGGAACAAAATTGGAAGATAACCTGCGCTCCTGTAGGAGAGAGTTGACCCACCCTAGGGCGTTTGAGGTCGCGTGGAGGCAGCCGAAGTGGCTCGAGGTGGAGGAAGGATGCAGTAGCCCGAGCGTGTTCAAAGGCTGCCGTGACGCGCCAGCCTTAGAAAGTGAGATGCAATGAATACACGTAACGTTCTGTACTTAAGCTCTCTCCTTTGCAAAAAGATCCACAACTCGGCATTTCACATCCAAACGATGAAAATTTCCCGGATGCCATCAACACTTGGAAGATTTTGTTGGGTTCTGGGCATGACAGTGTAAGTGAGATGTTTGCAAACTAGGCTCAGACTGACTAGGATGGTGAGGGAAGAAAACCATGTTGCCCCAGCAGACGTGGAGCTCCTGCGTCCTGAGCGCCAGGGAGTGTAAGCATGAATTAAGATAATTTTGAGGCAAACAGAGTTGCTTAGCCTGGAGCAGTCTGGAGATCTGTGGTCGCTGACTTAAAATACAGCATTTGGAAGGCCGACTGAAGAAGCTCTGTCTGCAGACCGAAAGACAGAACTAGGACCCAATCAGTGACCGTTATTTGGAGATGGATTTCGGCTCCAGTACAAAGATGATGTTTTTGTTTTAATGAGAGAATACTTTCCCCAAACAAATAGGGTGCCTTGGGAGATAGCCCTTCTCAGAAGTGTTTTTAAAAAGGCAGTCTGGTGGTAGGTAGGTGTAGACGGGGTGAACTAGGTGACTGAATTATGGTCAGAGACAGTTGCCCTGTTGAGAAATGGATTGTGAGGTTTTAACATTTTCACATGTTGAAAGGGTTTGGTAGAAAGCATGGTACTGAATAATAAACATTAAAAGAAACATTGAAACATCAGAAGCAACATAAAAGTAACATGAAAAAACTGTTTCAAATCAAGTGTTTATAAACGTCAAAGTCTTCTTTTGATCCTACTAGTTTATTCTGATAGAATTGCAGCAATTATGTAAAATGTTGACTTTTCCCGTTATCATTTCTTTTACTTAAGTACTTTACATATTTTAATGTTTTCCTCATCTTGTTCTAACAACTATATAATCTATTTTAGATTAACATTACAGGAGGCCTAATCGTTCCCCTGCAGCTGGAAATTTGTAATGTTTATATATGTATTTTTTTGATTCATAATGTTCAGTGGTAAGTAGCCATAAACCAATTGTTTTCTTTCTCTTTGAATTATACCCTTATATCTATTGACTAAAATGGTAATACTGGGTCCAACGAATAGCATTTTGTGACACTTGTTCCCAGTTGCCAACCTACCTTCTTAATTTGCATAAATTAACTGCTGAGTTTTTAACAGTCAAGAAAAGAAAAAATCTCCTTCCTCCCACCCCAGTCCAGTGTAACCTGAATTATGTGTATTGATTCTGAGGCTGGCTGGTTTTATATTAGCTCTAATTTTCTGTAAATAGAGTGTAGTTGAAGCCGATTAGAAAGTATGATTTTTTATTTAATGGCTGGAAGATTTTAGAAGTGTAGGGTTTTTTTCCCTGAAGATCCCTACTGTCAACAAATGTTTAATTCCTCCAAGAGGCATTAAGGAAACTTAACCTAAACCTTTTCCCCCCTTCAATCAATAATATATAGCAACTTCCTCTTCAAAGCTGTTAAATATTTAACATGAGGACTGATTCTCAGAAATAACGACGACCGATAAATATCTTAATAGTACGTATTTCATTTAAGTCCCAATACATTGCGTCTTCAGTTTAGTTCTCATTGTATTGTTTGTTTAGGAAACATTAACATGTTTGTAGTAAGTGCTTTATGAAAAAAATAAAATAGTCTGTTTCCTGCTGGACAATGATAGTATAACAGTTGCAAAATCTATTTTGGAGCACTATGGATAACCACTTTTCATTCTGAGTCTCCCCTTCGGAACAGATTGTAGTAGCAAATGACATTTGGCTCTCTTGAATGAGCTACTTGTAGAACCCATACTTAGACTTTTATTGAAGCAAAAACTGGGAAGATAACTTTTCAGAAATTGTTTAAAATGTCTAGGAGATCAAAAATATTTTCATCTTCTGTCTATGACAATTAGAGTAAAAAGAGTTACAGTTCACATTATCTGTGTTTTCTTCGCTATATAGATCCAGTGGTTTTTAAAAACTGACTGACTCATGATGACTCTGCATTCTTAGTAAACACTTGGAGATCCTTAATTGCCATGCAGTGTTTACAGACAATCGTTATCTATCAGAAACAACTTAACTATCTTTGTTTAGGTCACATTTTTAAAAGTGAGGCTTTTAAGATAAATTTGGATGATTCTGCTCTTTGGAAATATAGTCTATTTTAATACTTTGACCTTTAGAAAAGCTTTCCCTGTCGTATAAACTTTTAAAATAGAACAACAAACAAATCTTCCCATTCGAAAGTCAGAAAGCAGTTTACTTCTAGACTTAAAAGCTAGCTATGAAACTTCGAGAATAGTAGTTCTCACACTTGAACTAGTGTGCTTCTTTGCAATGTAAGTTTTACTCCTAAAGACAAAGCAGTGAATCCTAGACTGTCATAAGATTTTTCCCGGAGTAACACAAAGATGCCAAAGCCGACAGCTTTGAGGGCATTCACTTTGTTTATCCAGAAAGGGCCAATTTTGAACGAAAAATTTAGAAGTGGAACAGAGTTGAAAGCATAGCCACAAAAAGCCTTATAATCCAAGCTTGTTCCTAGCAGCCTTCTTTATAGTAGCCCCAGGCTGGGGGCAGCCCAGTGTCTGCACAGATTATGGTACATTCGTAGAGTGGAGTGCTGGTCAGCAATGAAAAGGAACAGCTTGCTGACCCATTGGATGAATCTCAAAAACCTTATGTTGACTGAACAAAGCTTTGGTTATAGGAATCAGTGGGAGGGCGATAGACTAGAAAGGGACAGGAGAATACTTTCTGGGGCAATGGAAATATTTTACATATTTTTACAGGTTCTCAGTGGACCCTAGAGTCACAACTCAGAGCTAAAACCCCTAAGATCTCTTTATTTTACTGTATGTAAAATTGTACCTCAATTTTTTTTCAAAGAAATGGAATAAAAGGTGAGTTTTCTCAATAGGAAAGTATAATAAATCATTAACTTCAAACGAAAGAGTTGTGTTTATTAACATATAAATAATAAAGGTTATTTCTGAAAGATTGAAAAATTTTATTCTAGAAAACTTTTTTTGAGAATTTGGGAAAATGTTTACGTAGTTACTATAAGTTGTAAAAGTTTTCTTCCCACTTCCTGGTTAGACCAACTATATTTAAAAGTCAGTGTAATTAGGGCCAGCCCCATGGCCTAGTCGTTAAGTTCAGCACACTCCGCTTTGGTGGCCTGGGTTCAGTGCCCAGGCTGAAACCTACACCGCTCTGTTAGTGGCCATGCTGTGCTGGCAGCCCACATACTAAAAAATAGAGGAAGGGTGGCACATATGTTAGCTCAGGGTGAATCTTCCTCAGCAAAATAAATAAATAAATAAAATTAAAGATTATACTAGCCTTTGTGGAGACAATTTTGATCTCATTATGACATTTTCTTTTCATGTAACTACTTTGCAATTTGAAATTCCTCAAGTCATCAGGTATTTATTGAGCACTTACTATGGGCCAGGCAATGTTTTAGATACCTTGATGCTGTTCTGTTCACAATAATGAATGGAAAAAAGATCTTAAAATTGATTATTAGTTTTGTTTTATTGGCCCTTTGGTCCTGAGTAGTCTGTATTAGGTTTTAAGTGGTAATAGTAAAGCCATCCGTTGAAAATATTTTACTTTTTACGGTTCAGAAATAGAAGTCATTTCTGTGTCTTAGTTGTAAATGATACATAAGAAAATATGTTATAAAATTATCGGCAACCAAGTTGCCAGTATTATTTTTGTGGTATCATTGTATGCAACCCTTTGAAAAGGAAAAAAAAATCCGTCCTAGTTCCTTAGAATAGCGATCCATGAGATCCATTGTGCGTCTATGAGTGCTTCTAAAAGTGTTTTTATCACAGTATTTGTTTAATATCTTGATCTGGAATAGTGTACTTTAAAAAGTTTTTGATTGTCGTTTTTGTTTATATATCTTGATCTGGAATAGGGGGTGACAGTTAGCCTATCTATAGATGATTGAATCTGCCTCCTCTCGACTCTAGCTCTCTTTCTCTAAGGAGACATTTTCTTTTAACAGTGTCTACTTTCAGAAAATGTGTTAAAATTGCTTGCTACTCAGGGACTTTGAAGTGTTCTTTGCTGTCTAGATTTTGTTTCTCTGAGGGTGCCGGTTCTCCCCTCCACCTCTTTAGTCTTATTCTTTATCTTAATAGTGGGAAATAGAATACCATTGCAAAATAAATATTAGAATCCTGCTCAGTAGTAACAGTACTAGTGTGGTCTGCCTTTTTAAAATTAGAAACATAATTTTTTGAAAAATTGGAAACAGGAAAATTTCACTGATAGAGGATAAAGTTCTATCAGAAGTGAAAATTTTGAATTAAGGGAAAAAATTTGAGGAAATTCAGCTTTGTTACATTCAAATGAGGAAACAAAATGTTGCCTAACTGGGTGTTTCAATGATTGAACATAGTTGTCAGCTAGTTCCATCTAGTTGACTTAATTACACCCCCAAATGCATCTCTTTCGCTCTCCAACCCCTGATCTTCTTTCACTTTCGTCTTCTAATTCTGGCTCGTCTCCTAAAACCCTTGACACTTCTCATAGAGGCACCTCCTTGCTCCGGGGAAACAAAGCTCTCCCTCAGGAAACCACTTGCCCAGAGCTCTCTGGTCTCTCTCCTTGTCTCGCTCAGATGAGGGGACAGAGACAGTTGCGCCTTTCAGGCTCTGCAGAGCCGCCTCCACTCTGGAACCGTTCCACTCTTTCAGAGAAAGCTGTGTCTCTGCCATCCATCAGGATCCCTTGCCATTTGCTGTTGTCTGTTGACCTTTAATCTCTCCCTTACATTCTTTAAGGATGTTGACACCTGTTTTTCTCTTTTTCCTACAATATTGCGCTGTCTTTTCCTGCTTAAAGCTGCCCTTCTGAGATTGTTTTGTTTTGTTCTTTAATTAAAAGCCAGAACCTCCATACATCTGGATAATGAAACTAGAAATCTAGGGATCGTAAAGGAGCTTCACTTCCTCCATTTACCTCATGCTCCGTACTTAATCAATCACCAAATCGTATTGATTTGACTACTGAGTCAGTGGTTCTTAAATTTCAGGTCGAGTGAGAGTTGATCACAGATGTGCTCTGAGATCCTAGTGAAAGCTCTGGCCCAACTACTCAGAAGGGTGTGCGCACACGCACACACACTGCCAGGCAATTGGAGGGGATCCATGTGTCCTCTCTGCTTTAGCAGCCGCTGCCTTAGCTTAAGCCCACGTTATTTTCTTCTAGGTTATTGCGGTGGGTTTCCAAGAGGTTGTCTTGCCTCTTGTCCTCCCACCGCCATCTCTCCTCTTCTTCCTTATGTTTCTCCATTAATGCGTCTTCCATCTCATACCAGTGTGATTTCCTAAGTGAATAATTTTTTGACATTTAATTGAGATATTTGTTATAAATATTCAGAATATATTTCTATATTCAGATTAGTATTCAGATTTTAATATTTAGCTATTTTAGTGGTTCCCTTTTATGCACAGGTAGGTTATTACCTGCCTGTTGTGTATCAGAGCTTTTTATGATCTGGCACCTGGTCTTTCTACTGTCCCTCTCCTCTTTGACTATTTTCCTGCAATACCATGGTGCTTAGTTTCCCAGACTTTTCTCATATGTTCTCTCTCTCTGCGTTTCCTTTGCTGTTTCTTCCGTTGGAATATAACTCCTCCTCCCATCTGCCCATGGGCTCCTGTTCTCTTACTCATCTTTCAGAAACGTGTTTAGGTGTCCCGTCCTCCCTGTAGTCTTTGCTCGTCCCTGCAAAGAGTTAATCACTCTTCCTCTACATTGCTCGTTTATGATCGCACATCCTATACAGTGCCGTAATCCTTTTTTATAGATCTATATTCCATACCAGATCAAAAGCTCCTTTGGGCTGGGGACTCTGTCTTTGTAATTTTTGTATCTTCAGTACCTGTCACATCACCTCTGTGAGGTTTTATAGTTCTTGAAGGGGCTTAAAGTTTTTTTCTTGAGTACTCTAAACGGTCTTCCTGTATTTTAATTTACACTGTTGTCATGTGTAAGCCATGAACAAAGACAAACAGGCCTAGACTTAATAGACGTTACCTCAGATCCTGGTTTCACGGAGCACAAACTCAATTCAGCCAGCGTTTACCGAAGTCTTGATTTATGTAAATCTGTTAGAGGATAGGGAGTTAGGGATCTTTTTGTGCACTGGGAGAGGAGGCAGCTGTTTACATGACTGTAGCTTCGAGGCAGAAAGCTTTCTTTTGCATAGTGCTCTATAGTTTTTACAGAGCAGTTCCAACTCCATTTACTCATTCCTCCCAACAACCCTGTGAAGTTGGAAGCGACTTTGCATGTAATATTCCTTGTGCCTTGAAAGTTCTTCGCAAGTCTTTGAGCCCCTAGCTTCTCCTCATTCTGTAGGTCTTGGCTTAAAGGTCCAATTTTTAGAAACCTTTCTGACCCCCTTACCTAAAGTTGTGGCCCACCCACCACTCTGCCCCTAGGTTAGTCTTTCCCTTTCATATCATCCTGTTTATTTCCTTCATGGCTCTTGTTACAGTCTGGCATTATTTATTTGTTTACTTGTTCTTTGTGCTTTCCCCTTCTAAGACATCTATGCCATGAAAGCAGGGACCTGACCCATTAGCCTGTATCCCTGGCACCTCGTGCATATATGGAATGTGGTGGGTACTTGTATTGTCGAACAAATGAATGCATTATTGTTATTCCTGTTTTGCAGACCAAAGAACCCAGACTCCAAGTATATGAAAGCTCAACAGGCTGCACCGTAAATTATGCTTCAGTATAAAGTAAAATAAATTGAGCCAGGCATTACTGAGTAAGCACTGAGGATGCGGCGATGACCCAGACAGAGAAGGCCCCGCTCTTGTAGGTCATCTCTTGCAGTGGGGGACATGATAGGCACACGCATCTTCCCAAAGGATATTAAGAAATTGGGACATGCTTCTGATAGAATATTAAGTGAAAAAAGTAGGATATAGACTATATACAATATGGTCTCAGTTTTGTTTTTCAACGATTTAAAGGATATGTATTTATATTGCACACCAAAAAAAAGACAAGGTAGAAATACGATAAGATATTACCAACTTTTGACTGGTAGGATTAAAAGTTATTTTTTATACTTTTCTAAATTTCCTAAAATAAATGCTGTTTTTGATAATCCTAAAACAATAAAAATAAAAAATATACTGTACAAAATATACATTATACCTAGGAGTAGGTAATAGTCTTCGCTTCACAGTGTCTAAAATACCTGTAATAGTTCAACATACATCAAACGGGTTCATAGGGAATAGCTAGTCTTAAAAGTTTTTAAAAAATTTCTTGTTCTGTATTTCATATTTCTTCACTAAAAATCAGCCTTAATAAATATTCTTAAAGTGATTTTAACTGAGTTTTATAGGCTGTATTATTTTCCTTTATAAAGCTTTTCTGGAGTTAAATTGAAGTTTATTGTCTTTAGAAAGTAGATTGCACTGAGCCCGCTAAGTCATTCCTTTGCCATAGAGACAGTAGTGCCTTCACCACTGTCTTACTGTAGAGTAGGGCTTACCGCGGGACTGTGTCAAAAGAACATTTTCTGAAGTAGATTTTAAAATAGTATTCACACCATTTGTTCCTGGAGACTTGTGGGTTCAGATAGGACATGCTCAATTTAAGAATCTAAGTTGAGGTTTTCGTCTTTACATCACATCCATTTACTCTTTGACTTTGAGTCGTTTACCCTCTTGTGACTTTTTAATTTTGTAACATACAGAATAATACTTAAGGTTATTCTACATTCAACAAACATTTGTTGAGTAACTGCTATTTCAAGATATTCTACTGGATGTCGGGGCCACTAGCAATCTGAGATATTCACTGCCTGATCTAGAAGTAAATAAATCATTACAGTGTGGTGAAGGAGAAAGACTGACGTGGGCTCTGCGTTCATTCATTATATCCCTCCGTAGGCACTTAGGGGTGTCTGTGCTGTTCCAGGAAGAGCAGTCCACGGCTCCTTTTCTTACAGGCTGGTGGAAGAGTCCACTTTATAAACATAATAGCAGTGTGATGAACATGAGGAACAGGGGCCTGGAAGCACAGGAGGAAGTGATTCACTTTGATTTGTGAAACCAAGAAGGACTTTTGGAGGAGGCATTATTTGACCCCTGTCTTAAAGGGTCCACACAAATGAATCAGGTAGACCAGAGGGAGAGGGGCATGGCAGACCGGAGGAACTCCTTACACAAAGAACACAGGGAGGCTGCTACTAGGTAATGGCTTTGTGGCTGCAGGTGCGTGAAGGTGGGGCTGTTTGTGGGAGCTGACGCTGTCTGAGGAGCCCGGCTGTGCTGGAGATGGGGCTTTACAGAAACGATGTCTATAGCAGCACCATCCCAAACTTTCTGTGAGGATGGAAGTATCCTCTGTACTGTCATGTGGCTGTGGAGCTGCTGAAGAGTGACTGGTGTGTCTTAGAAGTGGAATTTTGAATTTTGCTTAATATCAATTTATTTAAATTTAAATAGCCACATGTATGTGTTAATCATGTTTTTTATTTTCTGTATTTTATGATGCTTTGGACATGTTGGGGGCCCTGCTGACTAAGGAGAACCTGCCCCCACCAGGACTAGCTAGTTCCTGGAGACAGCAAACAACTTGCCTGTGAGCACGTCTTTCATGTGCAAACCAACCAGTCCAAAGCCACAGCCACCTCCTCTCCTCTGTCTAGGTCACTCACCCAGCCAGTGGTTCCCTGCCCTGAATCACCTGGGGCCAGGGAGAGAGAGTTAGAGACCACGCCACAGCCTAGAGCCCACTGAAATCGTTCAGGCTATCCAGTCCTAAACTGTTTATCCTGCCCTACCTTGCCTTTTGTCTGGAAACCACAGTAAAGGCTTGTGCCCCTGTTTTCCTCTCCTTCCTCCTCACCAACCCTGGTACTTGCCCATGTGGCCCTGTGTGGCACGGGGTGCCCCCTCCTCTTGGGAACTGTGAGTAATAAACTTTCTTTCAAGGCAATTGTCTCTGTGTCTGTCATTTTACCATATTGATTAAAACAAAATCCCAGCTGCAAATCACAACGGCGTGGCTAGTGGCTGCCATGTTGGATAGCACAGATCTGTAGATAGGCACCTTCCTATCAAGAAACAGGTGTTTGTCATTTCCAGAACTTCAGTTCATTGCAAGGATCTATGTGGCGTGTCCCCAGTCAGGTTTGAGAATAGAACAGCCAGCATGACAGGCAAGATCCGTATCCTTACAGAGCTTCATTCTGTTGACTAAAAGACTAGATCCCCAAAGATATCTACCATGTAGCATGGTCAAATTGAGTCAGCAAAATGTTTTTTCAGAGGAGTTGCTCCCAGTCTCCATAATCTCTTAATAAAAGCTACTCTTCATTGTCTGTCTGGTTTTCGCCGGGGACTCTTCCAAGTGCCATACGTGTGTAGATAGGTTTCATTTAGAGCTCCTAACAAACCTTTGGCATGGTGCTGTATCAAAAATAGTTTCATTTTGGCAGAGTTGGTGTTAAGCCTGTCTTTCTTTCAATAGTTAAATGGTAGGAATAATTATCTTTGGAGAGTAGTTTTACCAAGAGGAGAAGAGAGAAAATTTTAGGCCTGTTGGTTTAATTCATGGTGATTGAGAGTGAGCTTTGGTCTTACTGTCCTGGACTAAACCTGCTTAAGCCACAGTTTACCCACGTGAAAAATGAGAGTAACAACAGCAGCTGCCGAATACAGTGTCTACGCTGACACGGCGTCAGATAATGCAGTTGCCTCTTAGTGTAGTCTCTTCATTTACCACTAGCATTTATTACCATGCCTTGGCAGATAATCTTCAGTTTTTTTCTTGCTGAGCTGTTTCTACATAGTGCTGAGCAAGATGTCAGGTAGGCACTCTGAAGGATGTCAAGTGATAGCTGCTTAAGGACAGAAGGGGGTCCCTAAGAGCCCAGCAGGTAGGGCACTAGCCACATCTGATAAATGCATGCTGAGATGTTTATCTTGGTTTCCTGGTGTGTCTGTCTTCACAGGCATAGGGACCATTTCATTTATAGCATTTATATTCCCCATCCCCCAAGTCAGTGCTGAGCACGACAGACGGCACGTAGTGAACACTTAGGAATAAGGTGTGTCCAACGATGAGAGCATTCGGTATATGAAAATTTCAATTAGTTCTTTAAAAATAGTAGCTTTTAACATTTAGGTGTTTCTTTAGGAATCACTATGCCTTACTAAAAGATGTCAATTAAAGCATTGAAGACATGTTCTGTCTGAAGTTATCTATCAATGGTAAAATAAAGATAGTCTATTGTATGATTTTAGACACGGTGGAAACATTTTATAAACCTATAACACATATCACACATTGAGTTTTGCTTATAATTATGGTGATCATAATTCCTGAAATAAACACAAATATACTTAATAAAGATAATGAGGTAGGATATTTGATATAGGACCTAGTTCTGAAACTTGTTGTCCAGTTTCACAAGTCTCAGAGTAGCCCACAAATTAAACAAGGTGGTCCTAGGTATAGGTGGCTTGATTATCTTATTCATTGACAGTTTTACAGAGTAAGTAAAGAATAGGGAAAGAAGCAGCTGGAGAAGAGGCAGGTATTTGAGCCCTGTGGCCGCACTGCACGCTGACCCATCTGTGCCTGTTCAGTTTCAGAATGGCTCCGGTTGCTGCCCTTTCTCGGTGTCCTTGCGCTACTCGGCTACCTTGCAGTGCGTCCATTCCTCCCGAAGAAAAAACAACAGAAGGATAGCTTGATTAATCTTAAAATACAAAAAGAAAACCCCAAAGTGGTGAATGAAATAAACATTGAAGATTTGTGTCTTACCAAAGCAGCTTATTGTAGGTGTTGGCGTTCTAAGACGGTAAGATGTCCATTTATGCGGACACTAACGTTTCGTGCAGTTAAAGTTGTTCTGCTTCTTAAATCCCCAGTTTTGAGGTTCTATGAGATGGGAGATTTTTCCGTGGTATTCAGTACCGAAAGTCTATTCCTAAATTAAAGTTTGCATTTTCTGATTGATACTGCCTACATTAGAAGAGTTAGAGCAGCAAGGAAGGATAGAAATATGTTTTCACCAGGTTCAGCAGTTAGTAGAGTAACAGTAACTACAGTCCTATGTAGTTAATGTAAAATATACTTACATTTTGAGATAGGACATAAGGTTTCGTGGAAAAGAGCATATGCTTTGGAGTCTGAATAAATCGTGTTCAAAGCTGATATCTTCTACTTACAATATGACTTCGATGAGGCAAATTAAACTTTAATCTCTAATCTTCAGGGGTTTTTTTTGTTAAATCATATAATACATCAACATCACAGATTTTTGAGGACTTGATGGGATGATGGATGTCTTGTGCCTTATATATATATTATGAGCTAGTAAATGGCAGCTATAATTAAGGCTGATTTTTTTTTTAAGATTTTATTTTTCCATTTTCTCCCCAAAAGTCCCCCGGTACATAGTTGTATATTTTAGTTGTGGGTCCTTCTAGTTGTGGCATGTGGGATGCCGCCTCAGCATGGCTGGACGAGCGGTGCCGTGTCTGCGCCCAGGATTCGAACCAGCGAAACCCTGGGCTGCTGAAGCAGAGCATGCGAACTTGACCACTCAGCCATGGGCCGGCCCCATGGGTGATTTTTAATGTGGAAATTAAAAGGAGGAATTAGGAGCGATGAGTATTGTAAGTAGTTGATGAGATCTGTTTTCTACTGCTTTGATCATAGGTTATTTGAGGAGTTAAGTACAATAATGTTTATCACAGCATCCTTCGTAATAAAATTTTAGAAACAATCTAGATATCTGATAATAGATAGGCTTAAAGGTGTGATACAAATGATGGGATATTAGGAAGCCGTTACAAATTATATTTTTAAAGAATAATGACATGAGCACATGATGTAATACAAGTAAGAAAAACATGTTAAAGTATGATCCCAGTTTTGTTTAAAAGAATACACATAGTAAATGCAGAGGGAAAAATATACCAAAATGTTAATTATCATTAATCCATGAGTGGATTTTTTCAAAAATATTTAAAAATTTTTTCAAAAACATTATAGTATACGTGTTTTATAGTAAGAAAACAGTATAAAATATTTTGAATTTAAATTACATTCTTTTTAAATAAATGAAGAGGTGAGCTTAAATTTAGAGCTCCACAGAGAACAGGAGCTTATTTTGATCCCCTTTTAAACCTGTTTTGTTGACTCTCATGAAATCAAAGCTTTTTATTTAAGATGTAAACCCAATGATTATTGAAAATGGTTAGTTTTGCTGTGGTATTGGAACGTAGTTAGGTTAAATGTAGACTATGTCTATTACTCAGGGAAGCTATCTGATGGGTTTTTGTTTCTGTTTTCAAAGTAATGTGCTTTCTTTATAAGAGCATTTCACAAATATTTCTACTTGTTGAATCGTATTTAAAATAACACTTGTCATTCGTTTTCCTTTCCAGTTTCCTGCCTGTGATGGTTCACACAATAAACACAATGAATTGACAGGAGATAATGTGGGTCCGCTAATACTGAAGAAGAAGGAAGTATAATAGTTAGGAATTAGGATTAAATTCAGTTGTGTGCTGTGCAATCTTATAACAGTGTTTGTTCATTCTTTGTGTATAGAAGATGTTTCAAATGGTGGTCTTAAGTATTGCTACTGGTTGAATAATTATTTCTGCCAATTTATTTTCTTGCTACACTACTTTTATATTTGATACTTTGTATATTCAAACAGTCATTTATATAGAAATTGTGCAACTCTTTCATTTTGACTTCAAAGAATTGATGTATTTTCCTACAATAAAACCAACACTTTTGATTTTAATTAATTGAGAAAATCTGTTTTTGGCAGTGTGTCCAAAGTTATTTCTTTGAGTATCAACATTTTCAACAGAATCTGTACTTTGAGTTTTTCTCTCTACCCTAGTAAATATTTTTAAGTTCTTTTCTGTGTTGATCATTTGAAGTGATTTTTTTTTTCCCTTTTGGCTTTCGACACTCCATTCTTTTTAGATCAATAAGAAAAATACTGCTCTCAAGAATTACTTGAGTTTTCAGAGTTAAACTCTTTGTTTTATAGGGATTGTTGTCTGATAAATATGTATCTCAATTTCAGAAAAGACATGAACTGGATGTAAAAAGTTCCAACAAGGAACACTTATTTACATTATTAAAGATTTGTTTACTGTGCAAAAGGCTTGTTTGTGTCTGTTCATTTGTGGGTTGTAAGTACCTTGAGTCGTTTGATTGAGTGATGGTAGGGTGGGGTGGCAAGAACACTTCATGAGCTGCATTTGAAGGTCAATTAAAAGTAAACATAAAGGGGTGCCGGCCCTGTGGCCCAGTGGTTGAGTTCGGGTTCTCCGCTTCTGAGGCCTGGGGTTTTCCAGTTCAGATCCCAGGCGCGGACATGGCACTGCTCCTCAGGCCACGCTGTGGCAGCGTCCCACATGCCACAGCCAGGAGGACCCACAACTAGGATATACAACTATGTACTGGGGGGCTCTGGGGAGGAGAAGAAAACACTGAAAAAGATTGGCATCAGATGTTAGCTCAGGTGCCAATCTTTTTTTTTTTTTAAGATTTTGTTTTTCCTTTTCTCCCCAAATCCCCCCAGTACACAGTTGTATATTCTGGTTGGGGGGTCCTTCTAGTTGTGGCATGTGGGACGCAGCCTCAACGTGGCCTGATGAGCGGTGCCATGTCTGTGCCCAGCATCCGAACCAGCAAAACCCTGGGCCACCGAAGTGGAGCGGGTGAACTTAACCACTCGGCCACGGCCCGGCCCCCCAGCTGCCAATCTGTAAAAGAAAAAAAACCCCCTGTGTTTATATGAACACTTCTTTTTAGAACAGTGTAAACCAACAAAATGAAATAAGTTTGCGGAATAAACTTAGCTGAGAATCGTTAAAACTTGTAATGTTTTAGCCCAAGAGTCTAGTTTCGTCTTATAATTTGTATGCTAACATCTGTCCTTAAGTCTATCTCTGAAA